GCTCCGATGTGACTCCGATGCGTGTCTTCCTTCTCCCCTTGCTCTTGGCTTGGGCCGATAGGACGGATGGGGGTGTTGGCCCCGCACCCCCTCGTCGGCTTCTTCTTCTTCTTCTTCTTCCTCCCTTCGTCCTCGTCGCCCTCGTCGTCGTCGTCGTCGCTGTCCGCCTGGCCCCGTTGGCCCCATGCATAGCAGAAAACCGAATCCCGAACACAAACCGAACCTATCCATTCTCTGATTTGGGGGTGGGGGAACAGGGGGACGACGACAACCAAATCTCGCACTCACCCCAAGCAAGTGAGGGTCGGCGGATGGTTCGGACTGACATAATGACCACCGATCGGTCCAACATATTGTCGGCTCATGTAATTCTCGGCGCCACATTGCAGCAATGTGTTGCATGTGGTTCTGGCTTTGTTTGACGTCGAAAGCAAACACAAGTTCATAAGCACGCGTAGGGCGCTATGGCATTTGATTGCAGTGGGGTCCGTACCGGTGGACATGTCACACCGAGGCAGCAGGCCAAGTCACGTCCAGCGTTCAGCGCGGGCGGGCTGACAACAGGGTACAAGCCAGCGTGGGCGCCTCGCCCTGACAGCCGCCACTCACAGGTGAAGTTGTTCAGTGTATGGCGACAATCGGCCAAGCAAGCAATTGTACCCAGATGTGGAACTACAACCAGCGCGTTTGAGAACGAGCACGCGTGGCAGAAGGCGTCGTCGCTATTGAACGAGTTGTGGCGCGCATGCAAGAAAGGAGGGAAGTGGCAGCTGCAGAACTACAAACGAGCAGCACGAATGCACAGTGTGGCGATCACTGCGTGCCAAAAAGCAACAGAATGGAAGCACGCGCTATCACTGTTGAGCAACTTGTGGCGAGCGAAGTTAGAGCCAAGAGTTATTAGCTGCAACGCCGCAATCGGAGCATGTGGGAAATCTACTGAGTGGCAGCAGGCATTAGCATTGTTGAAAGATTTGCAGCGGGGTGAAGTGAACCTAGACCTAGTCGGCTACAACACGGCGATCACCGCAATGGGAGGAGGCCAGCAGATCCAGCAGGCGCTGTCACTACTGCAAGAGATGCAGGGGGCAGAGGTGGAAGTGGACACGATCAGTTACAACGCTGCGATTAGCGCGTGCGAAAAAGGCGGTGACTGGCAGCGGGCATTGTCATTGTTAAACGAGATCCGTGAGGTTGCACTGATACCGGGCGTCGTCAGCTACAATGCAGCAATTAGCGCATGCGAGAACAGTGGCGAATGGCAACGTGCGCTGTCCCTGCTGAGCGAGATTCGGGAGGTGAGTATGCATTCAAACGCCATCAGCCACAACGCGGCAATCAGTGCCTGCAGGAAAAGCGGCGAATGGCAGCAGGCGTTGTCATTGTTGCGAAGGTTGCGGCAGGCGCATTTGAAGCCAAGCGTTGTCAGCTACAATGCCGCGATCAGCGTATGTGACACTGGCAGCGAGTGGCCTTGGGCGCTGTCATTGTTGAGAGACTTGAGGCGGGCACAGTTGAACGCAGACATCATCAGCTACAGTGGTACAATCAGCGCGTGCGAGAAACGAGGGGAATGGCAGCAAACACTTTCATTGCTGAGCGAGTTGTTGGGTGTGACACTAGAGCCTGATATCGGTGTCTTTGATACGGCAATCAGCGCGTGTGCGAAAGCCGATGAATGGCAACATGCGTTGTCGATGATGAGCTTGTCATGGCGATTGAAGCTGAAACCTAGCGCAGCCAGCTACGATACTGTGATCACCGCGCTTGGGAAGTTTGGTCAGTGGCAGCAGGCGAGATTATTGTTGAGAGGGTTGGATCGATCAAAATCGCACAACCAGCGCATGCGAGATAGCTACAACAACGCAATCGGCAGGTGCGAGAGTGGTGGCGATTGGCCAGGGGCCCTCTCGTTGCTGACGAAGTTATGGGCAACCATGGCGAACCCGAGTGCCATCAGCTACAACGCTGCGATCAGCGCATGCACAAAGGCCGGGGAGTGGCGGTGGGCATTGTCATTGTTGGACGAATTGTGGCAGGCGGATTTGGAACCGAATGTTGGGAGCTACGTTGTGGCGATCAGCGCCTGCGAAGTAGGTCGGAAATGGAAGCATGCGTTATCGTTGTTCAGGGAACTACCAGTGGTGAAGTTGCCGCCCGACGCCTCCAGCTACAATGCTGCAATGAGCGCGTGCGAGAAAGAGGGCCAGTGGGAATGGACACTATTATTGCTGGGCGAATTGCAGCGTGCGATTTTAGAGCCAGACGCCAGCGTCTTTGTAACGCCGAGCTTTGAGACGGCGATCATTGCCAGTGGCGGGCACCATATTTAGAGTTTGGAAGTGTTGACGTGCACATTATTTCCGGGAGGTGATGCATGGTTCGAGAATCCCCAGAAGCCCATTCGGTGAATAGTCTCGTTCCTTTTTCTGGAGGGCCATAGGTGCTCTTTGGGGCTCAGTTGGTGCATGTGGGACCCGCTTCCGCTTCTTTTCCTTCATGGAATGGGGGCGGACATTGTGCACAAGTGGTTGGCCAGGGATGTGGAACGGCGAGGCGCAATGAGGAGGGGTAAGAGAGGACAGGGTGATGAAGACGAGGTGGTCAGGAGACGAGGTGGTCAGGAGGATGTGCAGGAGGATGGTGATGAACACAACGAGGAGGCGTCTGATGCTCCGAGAGGTACCTCAACCCTTGGGGCCTCGTCGCGACGTGGTCGGTTCGGGGCCTCTGCCTCTGGTGCAGCGGACAGTTCCCCGGCGGCCGTCGATGCGGCGTGAGCCCGTCTCGCGGAGGCAGGAGAGGTATGCAGAGGTGGTGGGGGAAGAGGACGAAGAAGGGGACGAGGGGGAGATGGTTTGATCAGGCCTTTCCATCGATGTTGTTGGCGTTGGAGCTGGAGACGGCGCCGGCTTCGTGACATTTTCGTTGCGTCTTGCTTTGTGGTGCGTTTCCTTTTCTCAGAGCTGATGTCGATGATAATGTCCTGCAGTTCTCTCGATGCCGGCGCCGTCCCCAGCTCCAACGCCAACATCATCGATACCACCACTGATTCCAGCGACCCCAGCGCCGACCAGCTCGACGACTCCAGCGCCGACCAGCTCATCGACTCCCACACTGACCAGCTCACCGACTCCCGCACCGTCCTGCTCGCCGGCTCTCGCGCCGACCAGCTCGTCAACTCCCGCGCCGGCCAGCTTGCCGACTCCCTCACCGACCAGTGCACCGACTCCCGCGCAGACCAGCTCGCCGTCTCCCGCGTCGAGCAGCTCATCGACTCTCGCACCGACCAGGTCATCGACTCTCGCACCGATTAGCTCGCCGAGTCCCGCGCCCACCGTCTCGCTGACTCCCTGGCCGACCAGCTCACAGACTCCCGCACCAACCAGCTCGCCGACTCGCGCCGACCAGCTCGCCGACTCCAGCGCCGACCAGCGCACCGACTCCCGCACCCACCAGCACAGCGACTCCCGTACCGACCAGCTCGCCGACTCCCGCGCCTGCTAGCTCGCCGACTCGCACACCGACGTGCTCGCCGAATCCCGCGCCGACCAGCTCACCGACTCCCGCACCGACCAGCTCGCCGGCTCCCGCGCCGACCAGCTCGCCAACTCACGCGCCGACCAGCTCGCCGACTCCAGCGCCGACCAGCGCACCGACTCGTGCGCTTGCTAGCTCGCCGGCTCCCGCACCGACGTGCTCGCCGACTCCCGCGCTGTCCAGCTCGCTGACTTCCGCACTGTCCAGCTCACCGCCTCCCGCGCCGTCCAGCTCACCGACTCCCGCATCGACCAGCTTGGCAGCTCCCGCACCGACCAGCCGCACCTCCCCAGGAAACCAGCTCACCGACTCCCGCACCGACCAGCTCACCGACTCCCGCACCGACCAGCTCGCCGACTCCCGCGCCGATCAGCTCGCCGACTCCAGCGCAGTTCAGCTCACCGACTCCTGCACCGAACAGCTTGGCGGTCCCCGCACCATCCCGCTCACCGACTCCCTTGTCGACCAGCTCGCCGAGTGCGGCGCCGACCAGCTCACCGGCTCCCGCACCGACCAGCTCGCTGGATCCCGAGCCGACCAGCTCGCTGTCTCCCAGGCCGACGACGCACTGGCGTTTGCACCGACGCCAACAGCATCAACTCTGGCACCGACTTTGGCAACGTTTCCAGTAGCATCGACGCCAGCAGCGTTGGCGCTGGCATCCACGACGCCTGCATTACCGACGTCAGCATGGGCAGACTCCGCAACGCAGAAGCTATATGTCACGGAGCGTGCGCATCAGCTGTGTGCGATGATGCAGGGATGCATAAGTGCCGACATTATGCACCATCGGATTTCCTCACCTTCAGCTATCGAACCTCAGACCTCCCGCTGTCACCTTCAGCTATAGACCTGTCCCACGCGCCCACTCTTCGACCCCATCAGGAGGCGGGCGACGAGCCTACAACGTCGTGTCGGGCACCGACTTCGGCACCGACGTCATCGGCATCGACGCCAGCGCCGACGCCGGCACCGACCCCGGCAGCATCGTCGCCGCCACCGACCCCCGCGCTGTTACCAGTAGCATCGATGCCAGCAGTAGTAACTAGTACCAGCACCGACTCCAACACCGATTCCAGCAGCATCGACGCGGGTACCCCCGACGCCAGCATTCCCGACGTCAGCGCGGTCAGCATCACGGGCGCCAGCAATTACGTCCGCAGAGACGCCAGCACCAAGGACGAAGCCTGCAACAGAGGGCTGGTAATCCTTGCGGGCGTAAGCCGTGACACGTCTTTTGGCCGTCTCTGATTTGGTGGTGCCGGGTGCCAGGCGATTTGGTGATGCCGGGGGCCATGTGACGCCAATTTCGTCGTCGCTTCTGACAGCAGCTTCGGTCTCGCTTCCAGCGAAACCCACAGCATGTTGTTGTCATTCGCAGGTTCGTTCAGCACCACGGCCACAAGTACTAGCGCACTCACCAGGACACTCGGTTGGACGAGTGTCAGCTGGACCAGCGCATGCCGTTGACGACGACGACTACAAGCGCCCTCACGGTGCCAACGGCTACCACAGGCAAGTTTCATCCTCCAGCCAACGGCATCTACGGCACCAGCGCAGCCCCACCCCAGCAACTGCAGTCGCTGACGCCCCTGCAGCCTCAGGACAGCTCGGTCCCTGAAGCTTGCCCTGCTGGGTCGTGGCCTGCCTCAGATTTCTGGGCGTTTCTCGGCCGGGGCAGACGGACTGACAAAGCTTGAGGGCAAAGCTCATTGGCGGGGCGTCTGATGGGGGGGGGGGGCGGCTTCTTCGGCAGGTTCCCGTCAGGATCTGCTCTCAGGACACGTCCTGGGCTCCATCAGCGCAGCGATCTGCAACGCCGCCTCCATCTGCGACACCGCCTCCAGCGCGGCGTGCGCGACTCCATGCTGCTGCTGAGGCCTTGGGTGAGGCGGCCCCAGGCATTCCTAGTGAGGCCGCGCACCGATTCCGTGACGTTTCAGGCCTTGGTGTTCGCGTTCTTGCCCCTTCCTCCCACCAGCACTGACTACCAACACGCAGCGCCGACCTCAAGCACAATCCTGAACCCCATCTTCCTTGTCTTCTACTTGCGCCGGCTCGTGTCCGATATCATCCACATCTTCTATTTGTACCGATTGGCGTCTTATTTCCAGCAGGAGCGCCAGAAGGACCTCAGGCCGGTAACGGCCCGGCCCGCCCCTGCGGGACGTCTCCGCGTGTCGTTCTTTCGCGCCTGCCCCGAATTGCTGGTGGGATGCCCTTGCACCTTGCATGCGCGGGCTAGGCGGCTCCTTGCCGGGCGTCGCCGTGCCCTTCAATCAGATTTGCCTCATCTTGGCGCGCGCGTGCACCCAATGGTTGTTCTCTTTCCTGCCCTGGTCCGTTTCCTCCCCTTTCCCCTGCGTTTGCCACCTGCCTGCTGCATTGTGCGCTTGCTCACTTGACGCAGCCCCTCTGCCTAGGCTCGAGGCTTTGCCCCCATGTTTCTATGTTCGATTCGCGTGGGGATCTGGCGCGCGCTCTTCTGTCGGCATTGGCCGTGGAAGATGGGATTCGCACGCGCGAGATTTATTCTTGTTCTTGAACGGTTTGAGCTGAACGTTTTTGAATGTAGTGATGTGTACAAGTGTTTTTCTCGAAACCACCTGCAATGATCCAAGAGTTTACAGCATCGGAGATTCCTGTCTTCTCTCACTCTGATCTCTCTCTCTCTCTCTCTCCTTCCATAGCCTGTCTTCGGCTCAAGACGGGCGGCAGCCGGAGGGCCGCATGGCTTCGCGGGCGCTGCCCACCTCGCTGCCGGCCTTGGTGGCCACGGTGGTGGCGGTCTGGGCGGGCTGGAGTCCCCAGGCCGCTCCGCGCCCGACGCCTCCAGCCCCCGCTTGGCTGGAGAGGCTCGCGGGCGCTTGCGAGGCGGCGTCGGGCGCCGCGCACCGCGCCGAGGAGGCGGTACTTGTGGCGGCGGCTGGCACGCCGCCCTCGCCGCCACCGCCGCCGGCGGTGGAGTGCCCCGCCCCAGAGCCGCGGGGGTAGGAAGAGGTGCTGGTGCATCTCTTGGTGGCGCTCGCGAGCCCGTTCATCAGTTGGGCGGCGGCTCGGTGCAGCCACTGCTGCCGCGCTCGCGGCATCGTGGTGACCGATGGCGCGGCGCCGCGGCCGAGCAGCAGCCCTGCCCCCGCTGCCCGCGGAGGAGGCGTGGTGCGCTGATCTGCCGGCGGGGTGTCGCTGCCGGGTCAGCTACGTGGGGGAGCACCTCGACCATGAGCGGGTGGTGGTCTGGCCGTCTCGCCGAGGGGCTGCAGGGGCTCGGGTCGATGAGAGCCGCTACTGGGTCCTGTCGCCAGACGGGGACCTGTGGGAGGAGCTGCTCTCCTGGGCCTCGCCCAAGGATGGCCCTTCTGGGGGCTCGCGGCTGCCTGGCGGAGACGCCGGGCCGACCGACGGCCGGAAGCTCTACGCCTTTCGGGCGCGCCCGACGCTGGCGGAGCTGCTGGAGAAGCACCTTCGGTACTGCAAGGGGGTTTGCGAGGCCCGCGGCCAGACGGCCGCTGACTGGCCGCGCACGGTCGAGCTCGCCTCGGGCTCTGCGATCGCTCGCCGACGCCTTCGGCCGGGGGGCTGGTGGGGCTCCCGTGCTGGGCGGTGCTGAGGCTCCTCGTGGCGAGTTGGCCGCAGCCGGAGACGCTCCGACCCCCCCCCGGCGAGGGCGACGTCTGGGTGCTGACCGAGCCCACCCCTACCTTGGACGTGGGGGCGATCGTCAGCCCCGTGGCGGGTACCCTGCTTGGCGTCGGGCGAGACGCAGCGTGGCTCCATCGCGGCCGTGCCCTGCGCGTCACCTTGATGGCGGAGGGCGTGGTGGTCGAGTAAAAGGAGCACCGCCTCGCCGAGCTGCGGGAACTGCTGGCATTCGGACCCGGCGAGCCCCCCCTGGCTGCCCTGGAGGACCGGCCTCCAGTGGCGGCGAGCTCGCGCCCCGCGGCCGATCATGGAGCAGGCGAGGCCGTTCCTCCCGGCCCCCCCGAGGTCTCGATGGACGACGCGGCCGCGGAGGACACTCGGACCCTCTTGGTGGGGTGGGACGATCAGGGGACAGGTACAACGAGTTCCGGAAGGCGGTGGACGAGTCGGTGGGCTACGACTGGAATCATCAGCGCCTGGAGGGCGGGCTGACCTGCCTGCGCACGTGCAAGATGATGTACCGCGCGTCAGGAACGCCCCGGGCCTGGCTCGAGAAGTTCTTGCGGGAGAAGCACATCGCGCCGACCAGCCGCGTCGCCCACGAGCTCCGGCCTCTGGTGGAGGCGCTTGAGGCATCGGGGGCAAGATTTCGACATCCACCCCACAATACAGATGTCAATCTATTTTCAGTACCCGTGACGCGAAATTTGCCTCGGGGCCCAAATCTGCCGACTTCGGGGCGTCGCAGGGGACGTTTTGGACGAGTTGCCGACGCTTCGCGGAGGCCGCCTTCGCGGGGGCCCAGCGAGCTCGCCGACTGCACGCGGCCATACAGGTCGCCGCCAGCAACAATGTTGCTCGTACTCGTCTGCTCGGGCGGGACCGGCCCTCGCGAATCCGCGGCGTTTCCAGAGGCGTTTCGCATTTCCGCGGGACAGCGGGTGTAAAATACACAAACCACAAAAAACATGATGTACACCCGCCCAAACGAAGTATACACCCATCCAGAAATTTATACACCCGAGCAACAATATAACACATGTTTCAAGAAAGCGACGTATACACCCACCAAACCCAGTGCACCGAATACTGGCGTATTTCAAGAGACGAAAACATGCTGGCGCTGAGTCGCCATGTCAGCGCCTGCGGCGAGAGCCGCGTGGCTGGCTCATATCAGCAAGCCGCGGATTGCTTGCTCGTTCTCCAGGACGGAAGTTTCAGGTTTGTGCGGCCCCGCGCGCGCGGTTTGTTCGGTCATGTGCATCCTGCCAGTCTAGCCGACGATGGAACTGCGACGTCGGGATATCATTCGGGGCCATCCGCGGGCTCTGCCTAACATATGCATACATGGGCGCTGTAAGGCAGGGTGGGCGTCGATATTTAGCTCCCCAGGAGGAGGCGGCGTGCTTCGATCAGCTGAACCCCGGGGGCCTCGCGCGCCTCGAGGCGGCGGCGCGCCGCCCGACAGCGATCGTGGTCGCTTACAAGCGAGGAGGGGCTCCATCGCTCGCGAACGCGAAGTGCCTGGCCCCTCTGGGCGCCGCGGGCGAGCTGCCGGCGCCAGCGCTCCGCAGCCGCGTCGCAGGGCGGGCCAAGGAGGATTGGGAGGTGGAGCAATCGATGAAGACGGCCGAGGCCGTGGGCGCCCGTGCCACCACTTCAGGGGGGGCCGGCGCGGACGCCGGCGGCGGCGCCAGCCCGGGCAAGGCGGCGGGCGGGGGGGCAGGGGGGCAGGGGCGGGGGCCGCGGACGCGGCGGCTGGGGCCCCAACCTCCCCCCGCCGGCGCAGTCATGACAGAGAAGACGCACCCAGGGGAATGCCCCCCCCCCCCTGGGTGGGGCAACGCCACGGCCCGCACTGTCGCTCTGCCGCCGTCCGATTTTGAGAGAAACTTCTTTCCAGCCCCGTTGCTGCCCGACGCCTTCGAGGGCGGCCCTGGGGGGGCGGGCGCAGCGTAGGGCGCAGCGGAGGCAGCTGACGGTGAAATTGGCGAACCGCGCCTTGGCTCTGGCCGGCTTGAACTGGACGGCTGGCCCCAATTGAAGGGCGAGGATTCTTCGCCGGGCCCAGGCGCGACGATGCTGGACAAGCACGCAGCCTCTCAGCGCCGGCTGCTATGCGAAGCCCTTCGGCGACAGGCCGCAGCTCCAGCAGTGGCGCCGATGGCGGAGGCGGCCTTGCGAGTGCTGCTCCGGGGACAGTCCTTTTACGAGGCGGACGCTGCCCCAAGGAAACTCGTCCCCCACCAGGCCGGCCGGGTCTCGCTGCCCGAAAGCGTGCACGGTTGCCACTTCATCGAGGAGATCGCGAGCTCCGAGGGCCGTTCTTTTCTGGGGGGGGGCCCCAAGTGCATGGGGCTGGAGCCGGAGACGTTTGATTATGACAGTATGCCGCGTCTTTACACGGACCTGGTGCTGAAGAGGAACCCGACGGCCTTCCGCTCGCCGATGCGGGGGTCGGCCGAGCGAGGGCCCCTGGGAGTGACCGCGCGGCTGGCGGAGTCGGTGGGCATCCTTTTCGTGGCCAAGTAGCGAAGGCTTCGGACGCATTGAGGTGGAGCTCCCGCAGGGCGCGTCGTGGGCCTCGGCTGAGGGGCGACGCCTGCTGGGCTGCTTCGCGGTGTGCGCGGCGACGACGGACGTGAAGGACTGCTTCTACAGGTTGCGGGTTCAGGAGATCCTGGGGCGCTTCTGCTGCCTGCCCGCGGCGCCCGCGCATGCGTTCAGGGGCCTGGGCGCCCCGGGGCTGGGCCGGGAGCTGGCGCCCGACTTGGAGGTGAGGCCTTGCGTGGCCGCGCTGCCGATGGGATTCACCTGGCCCCTCTACTCGGCCCGGGCCGCCAATGGAGGCGCGTCGCAGCCCGACCTTGGGGCCCGCGACCCCCTCGGAGCGGCGGCAGGGCCTGATTCGCGACCAGGCCGAAGCTTTCGTGCTGCGGGCCCAGGGGCGCGGCTCAGCTGGGGCCCGCGCGCACGCGGATAACTGCGGCGCCGTGTCCGACAGCCCCCACATCAGCAGGCAGATGGTCAAGGAGCGGAGTGGGCCGTTCGAACCGGCGGGACTGGCGCTGCACAAGATGGAGGCGCACAACGGGCACGGAGAGGCTCTCGGGACCGAGCTGGATGGTCGTTGCCTGCGTTCAGGCATCACGTCCAGTCGGCTTTGGAAGCTGGAGCGCGGCCTCTCGGGGCTGCTATCTCGGCGCCGGTGCAGCGGGCGAGCGTTGGAAACAAGTCATCGGCCATTGCGCCTTCTGCGGGCTCGCAGCCCGTGAGAGTCTGGCGATCATCCATGCGGTCGATAGGTTCATCTCGTCCCAGTATTTGGTTGTCACCCTCTTTGGGCTGAGGTAATTTGTGAGCTGGAGGCCTTCAGAGAGATGTTGCTTTCGTCGACCCGCGACTGGTGGCTTGCCTGGAACCCGTGCGTCCTCGAAACGGACGCCAGCCTAGCAGGCTGGGCACTCGCCCAGAGTTTC